ACTAATTAACTGCAGAGGCTGGGTACTGTTAGCATTCCCAAGGCCTGTGGTATTGACCCGTAATTCCAGTAGGTGTCTAGCCAGTCCCTCATTGGACCCTCGCTGGCTCTTCCCGCAATTGGGTCTGTTGCGCCGACTGTGTCCTTGTGTGCGGTGGGCGTGCAGCAGTGGCATGTGGAGCAGGCAGCAGGAAGCGAGCCTCCCTGTCTCCCCAGACTGAACAGTGAATGAGGATAAGTGAGGAGCGCCAGTCAATGAATCAAGCAGCAGGAAGGGAGCAGCCAGGGGGGGAGTGTGACGTCCCCACGGGAGAGGCCTCGCATTAGGAACTTCCTCGTCTGTGTGTTTCTGGCACAGGTTAAATGGATCGCTCCCATTAGCGCGCTGAGAGGACAGCTCCATTATATGAAGGAGACTGTAACTTTGAATGTCACGGTGCAACAACCCAGAGCACGCCTCGTCTACCAGGGAGGCAGGGTGACAATAACCATCCATGATAATCATTCCCTGTCAGGCTTTAAGGAACCTGAAATTATGACGTACAGCCTGCCGTGTGCCTCAGACTTCATTACAGTGCTGTCACTTTGAGTCGCCGGCGATGGCACCGTGCTCCACAGCCGGCTGCAGCACTGTGGCTGCCAAACCCCAGACTCACTCTCCTCCTGTCTAAGTGGCATGTTTACAGGATGTGTGCCCCCCCTGCAGATAGATGTGGTGGAGGTTAACCTCCAGTCGCCTGCACAGTAACTCTCTTCCTCTATAGCATAGGCAGTGTCTCATGAGAACATGTGCTGAATTGTTTACCGATGCGAGTGAAAATATGACTGATCAAAGGCCACGCAGTGACAACTGTCCCTCCTTCCATTGTGACAAATGGTAATGTAGAAATTAGAATTCAGCTGCAACTCCGTACAGATAGCAGGCTCGTCTTTTAACTTTAATTTCTGTTAATGCCCGCAAAGCGCGTCGATGCTTATAAAAGGCGGTTCTCAGGCTGTAAGCATGTTTATAGTAGCCTGTTTGTCAGCCAAGGAGAGCTTCACCTCCAGACTGACCTCTGAACCTGCCATCCAGTGGAGAAGACAGGAGCTGGCAGGCATTGCCAATGTCAGTGCCCAGAGCTAACTCCTTCTTTCTCACCGCCTGACTCATTCATTGGCTTTGTGGCCCCTTCTCCTTGCCACCTCCAATCACAGGGCTCTGAATGACACATAGAGGAGGAAGTGGGCCCACTAACCACCCCTCCTGCTTCTTCTAACCTGCATAGCAACAGACCAGATAAGCCATTGCTAAAATACAGTAATGGTTTCTCCTCTGCACCTTAGAACATATTTGAAAAAGAGGATAGTTTCCTTATCACGAGGTGTTTGGGATTTGGTTGGTGGGAGATGGACGGTTGACGGCGGGCCGCTTATTACGCACACGGTTTCAGTGCAGTTCAATGCAAGCTCTGCTGCGTTGGCTGTTTCTGTATTTCTTGGAACTTGCTATTTATGTTCCATGTATGGGTTTTTTTCCCCTTTTATTTCTTCCTGTGCATCTGGTTTTGTTGACTTAACGACAAACCTGCTGATGGTACGCTGTGGAGTCACTGACCACTACTGTGACTGTGGAGAAATGATTTGTAGGCCTGTCACAGTTATTACGCAGTCACCTGGTTCCAGTTGCTTGGGCTGACTGTGATCATTTTTGCTTAATTGTCAGAAATGTTCCATTCATCAGTTTAAAAAAGGAGGGATGAAACTAACAAAAACATATTACGTAAGTCACTGTTTCCACACTGTTTGCGGCCTCTTCTTCTACAACAGCAATAAAGTGTTTATCTAAAGGTGCTTAACGTCTAATATATGATTAACTGCATTTTGATGAACATCTATTGACGTTAACATCATTGATTTAGTTGCACAGCCAAAAAGCACAGCACTGCTGTGGGCACATTTTGGTTTTAAGCCAAATGAAAAAGGAGAGCCTAATAACTTGGAGGAGGTGATTTATCGGATTTGCAGCTAAAAGGTGGCAGCCAAAGGTGCTAAGACCACTAATCTAAAACTAATAGAGCAATAAAATGAACAGGAAAAGACAATTAAATCTTTAGTCGCAATGATTTGTGCAACGATTGATTATCAACTAAAATTTCATTATGGTGACGGTCCTAATGATTTGTTAAACGGTTCTTTGTACTGCTTACACGAGGTCAAACAGAAAGCATGGGGGTTATGTCGTACACGTTTGTGCTGACTGCAGAGGTTAGCTGCATATTGTCAGCTGGAGCCAATAAAACGCCCTAACAGGTTGTAATGTGGGTAAAAAAAGGAGCGGAAGAAGGTAATCAGTGTATAATTTAAACAGGGCAGGTTTTCATGAGGTAGTAAATTCATTCAACTTGTTCTTTTAGGCCCTGATCGTACACACAATATGTTGCACTGAGAAATTTCCAAAAAATCCAATAAAGTAAACTGTTTGTTTATGCTAAAAAATTCCCCAAGGTACTTTTACAATAAACATACCTCTTTACATAGATTTGACTTTAACAAGCTTTGAGATTTAAAGTGTTTGCTATAGTGGACCAAGAGACATTTACTGAGTCTCAGAATTACTCCACTAGTACATGGAGTTCATGGTAGTCTTCAGTGTATTAATTTGAATATTTAAGGATTAAAGAAAAATGATTAGTCGTTTCCGCAACTGCTTTTGTACAGTTGATAAAACGAGGTATCGAAACGAAGGCATTCATAGTTCCAGATGAATCATTACTTCTCAACTTGACTTCAAAGCAGCCAGTGGCAGCAGAGCAGCTTGTGAACTTTATCATTGTGGTCTGGGTTGCCAACACTGGGTGCAAACACACACATATATTGTATTCACATTCTTACACAGACTTATCTGTCTTTAGCTCTCTCTGACATAAACATTTTGTAAAGTGAAAAGTTTATATTTAACTTTAAAATCTCTGGTCAGACAACGGCACTTTTATTAAAACTTCAGAGTATAACAGATGGAAGCAACAGGCAGAAACTTTTTGAACCTTCTCTATGTTATATACATTTAATATGTAATGAAGTACAGCTCCATTAAATGATATCTCATGTGTAACTGACTGACCTGTTGAAAGCTGTGGTTGGAGGACTTCTGTTTTATTGGTCTGCAATGTGTGGTCTGACAAAAGCCAGGAAAAAAAAAAAATAAGCTGCCTGTTTTCTATTTCCTTTTAATACAGTTTCCACTGAACGCACCAGCTATGTTCCTCGCATCTTCTGAGAAGTTGTCTCACCCATCAAAACAGAGAGCCAGTTAACTGCTTAATACAGCCTTTTACAGCCGCCTTGCGTTGCAGCACCTTGACACCGCCGGTCTTTAATGGACCATCAGCTCGTGCTGGCTTCCATGTCACTTGATTGAAGTGTAGAATTAAGACTGGATTACTGCTTATTTTCTCCTTGCGTAATGTCACAGTTGGACAGAACAGAACAGAAGCGTTTGGCCCTGAGCACTGGAACAATCCTAGAGCTCCATCACAGACTGCTGGCCCCTAGGTGACTCTTTTTTTCCTTCTTTCTGCTCTGTGGAGTTGATATCAGTTATGTGTTTCTCTGTGTATGTCTATAGGAGACTGAAGGGCTTATTTGTTTTCCCCCTCGTTGCTCTTTGACTCGTTTCCCCTCAAACGTGTCTGAAACATTGTTATCTCTGGCCAGACGCCTTTTTCACAGAGAGTTATTGAATCATGTCAACTTGCCGTCCCCCGAGTTTCAAATGCAAGCTGTAGAAAAATTAGCCATTGCTTCCGCATGACAAGTGGGATCTATTAGTGTGCTCTCGTCCTGCAAAGCATGAGCATCCAACGGGCCGCCGGGGACCTCGGCTGGCTGTGCACTTGTCCGCGTCAGGCTCCTGGGGCATTAGACCGATGTTGCAGGCGGGAGACGCAGCCATAGCCACAGCAAAAACCAAAGTGTCTCATTTGATGAGCCAATACCTGAAGGGGTGAGGATGGGCAGTATGAGCAATATCAGTACGCACCCACTTCCAGTCTAGCCAGGTCTTACTCACACTGGTCAGACTGGCCACTTGTTTTGTAAGCATGACTGTACATGCATCAGTGCTTGTATCTGTTGTATAGATTTACAGAACTTCTCCACCACTACTGTGACAACAAATATGTTTTCTGTGAGACCGGTGTAATCCAGAGGGAGTGTTGCCCAAAAAATTAAAAATTAAAAATTAACCATCTCTCTCTTACTTTTATTTTATTTTTTTAAAAGCGGGGTTGTGTCACACATTATCTACTTCATAAGACAATTCTTGAAAATCCGCCTTTGACCTCTGATCAGGTCACACAAGACAACAATTTTTAACTTTGGATGTTCCATGTGTTCAATCCAAACTTTCAAAAATCAGTTTTAAATAATACAAATCATGTACAAAATCCTCCTTTACGGCAACAATTTTAAATGTTGTGTATAATTATTAATCTTCTGACCTGCATTTGTATTTAAATTGCGTGTTTTTCTTATGCTTTCAAATAATTCTTTTGTACACTGCCCTGTTCTCCCTGAGACTACCAGTTTAAATAAAGGATTAACTAACTAAAATTAAGGTCAAAGTGCCTCCGTCTCCCTCGGGGCCACAGGTTTAGTCATGTGCTCGTGCTCCAATCAGTGAGGCTACGCAACACATTAGCATTCCAAATGTTGTTTGTTTTAGTTCAATTTTTTTTTTTTTTAATTTACTGCCTGCAGAAAATACAGAGTTTTAACCACCTTGTCAGATGTTGCTGTAGCATGGCCGTAAGTGAGACACCAGCCCACACACATAATTACCAGGGGCCTGCCACCTAATTGACCTTGGTCAGTCGCAGTGTGTTGGGACGCAGGGTTTTTCCTTCTTCATCGCCACCATCAGCATCAGCCAGTTATAAGCAGAGCCACGTGTAAATTGCGAGTGTTTTACATTTGGTTTTTTTGTATATTATCTCATGTTTATTTGTTTTCTCTTTGCAGGTATCTCAGTAACAAAGAAGACACATACTTGTAAGTACTAACACTTTCTATTTATCTGGTTTTTATTCCTCTACAATTTTAAAGCAGTAACCATGTCATTTAATTCCAAAGCAAATCTTATGATGTGAAAATGTGAAGAAAAAAACAAAAAAAACAAATTCCCCACGCCTCTTATACAGTAGAAATGATAACATCTTTATGTTTGTATCTATGTTGACTCTTTTTCATCATCGCCTGACTAGTACAGTAATAAATCAATACCTTCAATTAGATCTATGCCATCCACTTTCTCTGTTTTGTATTTTTCCATCTCCATACTGGGGAGAATATGATGATAACCCCAGAGAGGAAATTAAAATGCTATGCAGTCTTATGACTGTTTGATAATCATGCACATTTGAAGCAGGCAGTGTGGTGAAGCACCTCTTTGTTTTCTGCAAGGCCTTGCAGCTGAACAACACGGATGTGGTGTTGTGTGGTGGTTTGTAACCTCTGAGGCTGCATTAACTACCAGAGCTTGTATTCTTCAAGAACAGATCTTATCACTAAAATTGAAAGATACAGACACAGTGCGTGACACATGTCTCACACGTGAGATACAAGGCTTTCTTTGTGCACTACAACAATAGTGCACAGGCTTTGCCTTTTCTCACAGCCGCTGCCTTTTCAATTTCAGCCTGTTCATTAAGAATTGATGAACAGTCCAACCTGTAGAAATCAATGATTTCCAAGAGATTTGTACTGTAGTTTGACACATGTGAAGTGCAATCGAAAAGGCATGTAAAAACACTTTTGTGTAGTGTTCTGCAGTGTGTCTGTGTATGCGTGTACATCCATATGTGTGTGATCGTACCCCACTGTGTGAATGGAAGAAACTAGCCCTGAAGGCTATCCTTTCGCTCTGATCACTCTGATGAAACTTGTGGAGAGGGAAGGCCAGAGGGCTTTTCTGTAAGAGCGGTCGGAGTGTTTCAGATTGTGAGAGGCTGCATCTCTCCCTGTAAAACACTCTGGCTCTTTCTTACATCAGACAGCAGGGCAAAGGATATGATCTTCAATGTTAGACAGCTCTACCTTGCTCAAACAGCCCCGTCAAAACAGCAGCGTGATTGTGTGTTCTGCTATTTGCTTGTCTGGAGGGGCTATGATATTTTTTTTGATGTGTGTGTGAGAATGTTCGTGTTTGTGTCAGGATATCTTCAAGGTAGAACAGAAATGCTTTGACCCACCATCCACCGCCCCACTATCTTAATTAGTGCGGCGCTAAGCACCTCTACACTAGAAGGGGGCTCAAATCAAAGAGCATGATTTAGGAGTCTTGGGTTCAAAGCTCTGGGCAGAGACTGGACTACGCTGTCTCATTTCAGTGAGAAATATTCAAATCTTGTCCATGTGAGGAAATCAAAGTAAAGCCTCTTAACAAGTAGTTGATTGCTGTGCCTCACAGACAGGAAGCGGCTATAGAGCCTCGTCAGAGCTGTGTGCACAAGAAAAAGTTCAAGGGCCAGTTAATGGTCATTGAGAATGTGGAGGGAAGGTCTTTTTCAGAGAAGCCTGGTGATTATATGGCTGCTGGAGTAATAATGAGGGAGATGTCTCTGCCCTACATGGTTATAGCCAGGCTGTGGATCTATTTCTGTTCTCGGAGTGAAAACATTGGCTTCCCCGCTACACACCGCCACTTGTAATGTGAGCTTGGCAATCTTGGCTTGTATGTGTGTGTGTGTGCGCAGGTATATTAGTTTCTGTGTGTGTGTGTTTAGGAGGTCTTCCCAGTCCAACCCAGACCACAGGGATGGGCTGTGTCTCTGACTAACTCCCCACTCTGCCTGAGTGATCAAACTGCTGGAAGCTCCCCGCCATGCCAGTCCCCTCATCAATATAAATTACAGGGGCAGCTGTTCACTGGCAGACTCCTCTCCTCTCCTCTCCTCTCCTCTCCTCTCCTCTCCTNTCTTGTATCAAGCAGCAAAAACAGTCGGAACATGATGCGTCTGAGTTGTCGGTGGGTTTTACAGTTCAAATGGTTACTGTGGGTTAATGACTACATCGGCCACATATTGAAGGAAATGTTTGAACTGCTTCATATGGACTGTGTGGATGTTATTCAGTCACTTTTTTTTCATTAAAGCCCAGCCCACTTCACATCAGTGAATCTAGAGCTGATTGAGAGGTTTCAGTGTTTTTGAACATCACAGAAGCACAGCGTCCCGTTTCTGTCCCTCAGGTCGGCCTCCAGGTGGTGATGAGGGCTGGAGGGGAGGAAGAGGAGAGACAACGGGAGGCCATCGACATGAACGAGGATGGAGGGAGAGAGGAGAGGAAAGAAGAGGTCAGTTTGACAACAGGGAGAGACTGTGGGAAACAGGAGGACACAGAGGAGGAGGAGGAGGAGGAGGACAGTATTTTCATTCATTTCAGCCACATTACCACGATGGAGGAGCACAGAACATGAACCGCCCTCCAAAACGGTCCAGAGGTCGATCGTATAACAACAGAGGAAGATACCAGCTGGCTCCGAGGTACAGCCAGCAAGATACAAAGATGTCCAGAGAGTTTATTTTTCTTCTTCTCTAATCTTTCCTCTCCTCTCCTCTCCTCTCCTCTCCTCTCCTCTCCTCTCCTTCGCTTCCCTCTTCCATCTACCCAAATTCACTAATCATTAAGCCATCAGAAGGTGAAGTATTCTTGATGAAAACAGATACTTATATCATTGTGCCGACGGCTGTGATGTCCTCTTCCCCCGTTCACGACTTAGATAGATTTATTGTCTGAGGCTGCACCCTCTCTTCTCTTTATCTGTCTCCCCTTCTTTCTTCATTTCCCCCAGAAGGGGCAGCCCCCTTGCCAGCACTTACTTTTAACCACAAGGCTGTGATTCTCAGCAAGAAGTCAGCTGTGGTTTTCCTGTACATTGCCTTGACAGTTTTACATATGCTCTGTTATATGTAGTTTTAGCAGCAGTTGATGTATCTCTCAAACTGCCCACGTCAAGAGGAGGCTACAGTTAAAGGGCTAGGACTTCAATTTTGTATTGTAGTTTTTCTTTTTTTTACTTCGATGGTGGACACCAGATACACACCGTCACCTTCTCCTACCTCAGCAGGGCTGCGCTGCTGCGAGATGAGTTTCTGTTTGGACCTGTTGAGAGAGTTGGTGTGGAGCGGAGGCTCAGATGCAGCAGCTGATTACACTGAGATTAGACGTCTCACCTCTAATCTACCATCAGCAGTCTGGGACTCGGTCTCGCAGCTCGAATAGCAGAGAACTAGCTAACGCATGCACACACAGGTCATGTAGCCAGGATGCTCTTCCTCGAACGGTGCAGATCTCCTGATTACCTCAAGCTAATCCTCGCTCGCTCTCTCTTTTGCAGCTGTAAATGTACAATATACTGATTGTCTACTGACTGTTCGAACCATTACATAAAACAAGACAAAGATCTGCGCATCAAGTTACAAAACAAAAGAGCAGACGAAACATGCAAGATAAAACAACAAATATGCTAATATGTCTAAATAAAAGAAACAACACAACAGTGTAATAAAATGCGATACAGCAAGACCAAAAACTGCATTCTCAAAAACCACTGGAGAGCTGAATTTGCCCCTCTCTGGTGGTCTTAGTCAAAACTGAAAAAAAACATCAGCATCACAAACATTATTATTCAAGCACCATTCACGCCGTGTTATTGTATTTGATTCCATTATATTTCACACTCGCTTGCCTCGTTTTGCCAGTCCCCTGTCTTCATGTGCAGTATGTGAAGTGTGTGTCTGGATATAGATTGGGAATAGAGTGGCCAGAGGGAGGCAGTAGTACAAATGTAACTCCGGGAAAAAAGAGAAAAGGAGACAGACGAAGTTTCCTCCCTTCAGTCTACGGATGCATTTTCGGAGAGCCCCAGTTTTTTTTTGTTTTTTTTCACCCTGTATTTATCTCCATTGTGGTGACAGACTTCTTACACTGATTGAGAAACATGGCCTCGCTCCTGCATCTTCATTTATTTGCTCGCAGCTTGTATTGAGTTTCTCTCGTCAGTGATGTGCACTCACATACTAATAGTACAACCAATCTGTTTTAAAGGAACCAGATGATTTAGATTCTTCTGTACCGCCTCAGAAATGCAGAGAGCAGAGTTGGAGTGAAATTATATCACTCATTGAGGCTCACTCAAAGTTATAAAGCCGGAGTTTGTAGACTTCGTGCCTTTTTTTTTTCCCCCCTTTACAGAACACTCATAAAAGTATTCTGGTAGATGTTTTTGAAACAACAGCCTTATTAATCCCAATAATGTTCTCTATGTTAACATGTCAAAATGACAGCTTTTTTTTCCTTGTAAAGCATCTTCTTTTGCTATTAAATGACACGACGGATCCTGCTTGGATGTCTGAGCCGTAGAATGTTAATGCACTGGCTGTGCGAGTCGAGGTATTTGCAGTTAATCAAACATGAGATTTATGGTCCTTAATAGTGCTGTACATTGCCAATTTAGGAGAATAATATGTCCCAGTTGCTGTCTAATTTTGCTTGGCAACAGGCGCACTCCTGTGGAATCGCCCGGGGCAGTGTGAGTTGTCTCTGCATAGCTCAGTGTTCCATGCTCAGTGGTTGTTTGAAGGTATTTCATCACATTGTTGCCTTGATTCAGCTCTGTGGGGATTTGTTAGTTGCACTCATGTGGGAAGTGCATCCAGTACATTGTTAAGCTAGGGCTGATAATGAAGATCAGCCAGCCAGAGTCCCCTGAGCTACGCGCAGAGAGATAGTCTAGTGAGACGCACAGCACAGACATAGCGGAGCAGGACGAGCACTCGCACACACACACACACACACACACACACACACGCAGCAATACACACAGACACAAAGGAATCATCAGCACAAAACATACAACGCTGCTGTAGTGTGTTACAGTAAAAAATAAAATAAAAAATCACAATGCAGCACCACATTCTGTACAGTAGACTATCATCAAACACATTTTACTCTTACCAAACATTATTCCAAGTTTGTAACAATTTAGCATT